TCCACACCATGAAGCGGATTAAATTTGCCTTATTAGTGTGTTGGCCCATTATCTGAGATCACATTTTCTTGAGGTAGAGCGTTTTTTTTCTTGGGTTAGTTGCTTGAAGAGCAGGGGAAGTCCAGAATTTTGAATAATTGCGACAAAGCTTTTAAGTTCATGTAGAATGGTTTTAGCTTCGCTTACCGCTTCAGGGGCAAGTCCACTGGCTAAGGCTTGCGAGTAGGATTTGTTACTAATTACTCGATCTGCATAAAATGATGGCTGAACCTGAGCTTTAGGCTTTGGAAACTTTTCACAACCACGAAAGTTCGCAGTGTGTCCAGTCATCTTACAATTCGCACACGTAGGGGGAGTATTCTTGTCTTTTTTACATAAAAACGATTGATGAGCGTCTCCACACTTAACGCACCGAGGTTCATGGTGGCAATGTGTCTGAGCATGGTGAAATCCCTGGCAGCGAAAACACTGCAGGGGTCCAGCTCTACCTCGGTATCTTTCTACTTTAATCCTCATTCCTAGGATGAATTCTTCGTCGAAGATATTTTTACTTTTTTCCTTACGATCCAGGGTGATCAAGAAGAGAGGCATATTTATGACTTTTCCGTCTCGTCTTCGTTTGAGTTGATTCACTCTGATGATGCTATAACCTTTTTGAGTTAAATACTCAGCAATTTCGCTTTCGTCCGTGTCATTGGGGAGATGTCTAATAACAGCCTTAACATATTTGTTTTCAGGCAATTCGAAGCAGTGATATCGAATACCTTTGTCTTTGAAGACCTGTACGATTTGTTTATAAAGCGCAGGGGATTTGGATTGGATTTTAAATCCACTCTGAATTAATTGACCAAAGTAATCCTTTTCAGCCTGCAGATTATAACCGATGAGGAGTGCTTTAACTTCTGAAAATTTGAATCTTTCATCTTTAACCATGATAGGCGGTGGTTTTCTTGAGCTCGTGTTAGGATTGGTCGATGGTAGCGTCAGCATTGGTTGCGGACTGGGAGAAGTGTCCATGACGTTATTTTTTGGTGTGTTTCAGTAGCCGGATCTGCGACCTGTACTTCTGGGGCTGTATCCATATTATCAGAAGTTGTTTCCGTGGTCGGCTCAGCTGTCGAATCAGAGGAATTCGTCAGGGTAGGCTTTCGAGAGGGTTTTCTTGGTCTTCTAGTAATATCTCCTTTAGGACCTGAGTCCGTATCGGAGCTGTCTTCATCCAATGCTTTATATTTTTTCGATTGCTCTTCATCTGAGCGCGCAGGGCTGCTGGCTCGTCTGGCATTAGTTTTTTGTTGATTCCAGTTATTGAAGAATCGTTGTCATTAACCTTAGGAGCTATGTTTGGTTTGGGAAGAGAAGTAGAAGAACGATCAGCATTCAATTCTCTGTCGATGAAAAGTTTGAGACGACGAAGGAATTTAAGGTCTCGTGCATCTTTAGATGAGAGAGATCCATCAGCTTCTTCAACGCATTCTAAGTTGGTAATCTCAGCGGCAATAAAATCAATCATTCGATCCATGGTGGAGCGGATGGCAGAGAATATAGCAACGGGGAAAGCAATCAGAGTCTATTGCAATGCCGGCCTACTGTTACAGGGCATACTTTCAGAAATCAAGGAACAAATCCGCAATCGGTGCGCAACTTTCCAATGTAAAATTCTAATCAACGGGGCAAAAAAGGGCATTTTCATAAAATTAAAAAATAACATTGGGGGGTGATCAGTAAAAGGTTTACAATAAGCTATATTTTCCAACAGTAAGTGTATTGTGTCCATGAAACATGGAGGCATTTAAAGTACTGGCAAGCTGAAAGTCCTTTCAAGTGGTTTAGTGGTAGGAGATTATCAGACGATCTCTCAAAAGCTTCTGTATCAAAATTGGAATGGCACTGCACAGTTATTGTGGTAGAACTATGCCTATATGATCAGCCGTGAAATTCTGATGCCCTGCTTGCTTGAACCTGATTTACTTCTTCACTGTTGCATGAGTGGTCAGTCTACAGCATACTGAAGTTTTCCTTCACTATAAAGCTTACTTGACAAGCTTGTTCTTAAATATTTGTCTCTTTTTGATACTTGCGGTTTAACTACAAGTATGTCTTTCCCTCTCTGCCATTGTCATTTACCCTGTAACATATGATGCTTACTGATGCCTCCATAGTTTTGAACATAAATGTGTATATTTTCATATAATGGTTGCAGTGAATCTTTGTTTTCTAATGTAATAGCAGGTGTATTGTGTAATAAGTACTTTTAACTGTATATACAACTGTAAATTGTGCATCTTTCAGGTTTTAGCTATTTTTGTTGTGAGATATAATTGTTCAAAAATTTAATAGATTAGCCTTGACTGCATAAACTAAATCAGTTTCAGCAATGAACCTTGAAAAACTGTAATGAACTTCTACCATAATTTTGTGAATACAAAAGCTGTATTTGAGCCACATCAACTTTAAAAAGAAATATTTTGTCAAATCCATACATCAAATTGTCTTGGTCTGTTTTTTTTTTTTTTTTTTTTTTTTTTTTTTTTTATTCATGTTCTTTTTCTTATGGTTTTCAATTTATTGATTATTTTGGCATATTAGGATATCCGTTTTGATACATGCGTTCCTATATGATAAAAGTAAATATGAGGCTGATGTATTGGATACTGAGCTGATACAATTGAATGGCTCTGTATTTGATAAAATCTTGTTTAATAGATATTTAGAATCCAGCAGTATTCATAGCTCTTGAATAAAAAAGTATGTAAGGTAAGTAATTATATGTTTAATATATGTATTTACAAAAGGAAGATAATGAAGAATAGAATGTTTGAGGGGGGGGGAAAACAATATGATGAAAAATTTGTTTGCAACTGGTATAGTTGGGTCTTGTAAAACTAAATTAATTTCTTGCAAGCATTTTTATTTTGAGACAAAGAGCTTACAGTATTTCCTCAGGAAATGTACTTAAATGTACAATATTTGGTATTTGCTTGTTAAAGCAGTCACTGTATAAGCTTTTAGTGAGATTTGAAATAAGCAGTTTAAAGATTGAATTAAGACTGCCAATTTTAGTGTCTTAAATTCTGGGCTTGCTTTAAAAAATACCTAGTATTCTTAAAGCTAATGTTGTCAAATCAAATGAAATGTCTGGGTCCTGCCATACCAGTTAATGATATGTAATGGTCGCAGAAGCGTAGCTAGGGTTTTCAGCGCCCGAGGACGACTGAAGATTTTGCACCCCTTTCTCTGTGCCAAGAACGGAAAACATTTCATTCTAAAATTCGTAACATCAATTTGGCGCCCCCTGAATGCTGCGCCCGGGGACAGATGTCCTCCCTTGCCCCACCCTAGCTACACCACTGAATGGTCGAGATTTTATTTTGCTCATCCAGATTTTTAATGCTAAGCACACTGTTATACTTACATAAAGAGTAGTTATCCTTACATAAAGAGTAGAGAACTGTTTTACCATCCAAAGAGAAGAGCTATTAAGAAGGTGAAACTAATGAAATAAACATTCCATACTAAATGAGTTAATGTTCCCATAAAGGATATATTTGTATTGATTTTTATTTGTGTAAGCAAAGTATAAAATGTTGATTCCTGTTATATTTCAAACTGTTAAAAATTGTCAATATGGTGTTGATTCTCTATGTACACTTAAGAGCAAAAACCTTAACAATCTTTTTCCCGGAATAAAATCACTGTAAGCACTTGGATGAAATGGCATGAATACAACTTCTGCTGTGTAAATAAAGTATTGTTGTAGGGTCATTAGGTAATTTTTGAAGCAGGAGACGTGAAAAATGTGCAGTGGCCTCGGCGGGTCTCGAACTCTTGACCTCTCAAATACGCTTTGAGTGTGCTTCCATTTACACCATGAAGGCATTCAGAAAGAAGGAAGACGATACCTTGTATTGTTTATTTTTTAGGTGGAAAAGCAACTTTAAAAATGTTGGATATTGTGAATGGATTCCAAGATTTATTCATTTCTCTTGAAAGCATTAAAGAGTTAAGGTCATTTGACAAATATAAGATTGTAGTTAGTGGGTGAACAAATCAGAGCATTTTCTGATGGGAATGTTTGTGAAGTTCTCACAGTTTGCTGTGGTCTGAAGATTTGTTTTAAAGAGGGGTGAAATGAACCAGTAGTAAGGTGTAAGATAGTTGCAGTTAATTGATGCTAAAAGTGCATAAAGAATATTCTGTCTAATAAGAAGAGTTTTTTTTAACCCAAAAGTGTGTTAGTACTTTTGGGACTTTGTGGACTATAAGTCTCAAAATGGGATTTGGTAGCATATGACTACTGAATCACTTTTCAAATTATTGCCACAAAATAATATTGCCCTGTATTACTTTTGAAAAATTAAATAATGAAGAATCTGGATGAATGAGTGTTTCTATCGCTTTGAAAATAGTTCTTTGATAATAGTACTTGTCATTTTAAGGGGTATTAAAATTGATAAGAAAATGTATTGTTCCAACCTAATAGGTATAAATGAAGTAAAAATAATTGTAATAAAAGTTGTGCATTGATAGATTTAATATAATTAAGACTAGAAAAATGCCATGTTCTTAAATTTGTGAACTAATGTCTAATTCACTTTAAAGTTAACATGGTTTAAGAGTTAGCTTCTACTGACAAATTATTCAGCATTAATAAACATGCAGAATCTGCTTGGAGTAATGCCCATTTTTTTTGAACTTATAATCTGTATCCCTTGTAGGGCAGAATTCTAGATTTTTTTAACAGAAAATCATAAGTAATAAAAAAAAGTACTTCATGGGGCATTTTATGTGATGTGTTCGAAATGCTCTCCAGTTTGTGCAGTTTCATTTTGCCAGACGTTGTATAAATTTGAAATACTAATTTAATTAGATGCAGAATTGAAGTAGAAGTATTTTGCTCTGTATATTAAGCTTTGTACTATCAAATATTAAGAGCTTCTCATTTTGCTGTATGTCTTCTTTAATGCATTATTGTTTTAATTATTAAATATTTCTTATAGATACGTTGAAAAGCATACATCTGTTGGGAAAGAAAAGCTGCAATGCATTTTCATGTATTAGTAGTTTGAAGCTTACAAATGCAGTGTCAAAAGAAGAAATAGAATGCCATCCTTCTTTTGGATTTAAGAAAAATTTAATTAGGCTAATTGGGAACTTGTGCTACAACTGTAAAGAAAATCAGGATTTGGTAAGTTAAAATGATTCATGGTGGTTTCAAATGCGAATACGACAATAATTTTTTTTATACTTTTTCTGTGTGCATTAAATATGCTTTGTGTTTTAAAAATTCTTTTTATGTTAAAGCTGATATTTCTGATAGATTTTCATATCCATAACTAAATCTTATGTAATTACATACTAATTATAAAAACAACATTTGTTTAATTTTTTGTGTAACTTTCTTAGTGAAATATTTCTTTTGAACAAAATTTAGTGAACAATCTTTGTGAAATTTTGTTACTTATACATTCATTTTGTTGAGTCACCTATATTAATATTTTGCATGAAATATTACCATTAGAGTTGCACTCAAGGTTTGAAAAGTTTTTATAAGATATATACAAGTATGACTTAGTAAATTTTTGTTAGTCAGAACTATGTTGCTTGATTAATGCAAGTCTTTTAATTTTGCCTCTGCATACCTTTGAGCTATTTGCCTAAACTGAAAGTGAATTATCAAAAGTTAAAATGATTCTTCATTCATTAAAAAAATAACCAGCTATGTGAAAATAATTCATTCCAACTGTTTCATGCCTTTTTCTAGTAATTTTTTTTTTTTTTTTTTTTTTCATTTAAGATATAATTTTAAAAGTAAATGGAAATTATTTGTTTTGAGTCATCCATAAGATTTTATGGGTTTTTAAATCGAAGTGTGTTTTCTTCTGTTTTTTTTTTAATTACTCCTAAAGAGTGATCTTGATCAAATCAGATATGTTAAGTATGATCTTTTATACACGGGCTGATAATTAATTCTAGCATGTGTTGTGATATATTTCTTTTTTAAATCACTGTGTTAAGTATCTAGAAATCAAAAGTTATTTTCATCATATTATGATCTTTTATTTTAAAAAGGGGGAAAATACTAATAATCAGCCTGCTTGAAAATTTGTTCTGTATATAGACAATGTGATGTTTCTGATGGCTTAGTTTGAAGTTTAAATGTGGAACGTTCAGTCTTGAAGGTGATGCCCACTCTGTGCTGTCATCCTCTGTAAATATGGACCTATTAAAAGAAGCTATCTCTGAAATCCTCATTATACAATTCAGGAAGTATTAGACAGACTAAATATTCTGGAAATTACAGTACATTATCATTTGGGGAGGACTAGGTATATAAACCGCTACAATGTATAAATACCCTATATAGAGGTTGTTTACACATTTTCAGAATAATTTCAATAAAGAATTTTAAAAAAATGACAAATGCTTTGGAGTGGAAATTTCTGGCAGCTATTTATTATTTAAAATGAGAAATATCACCAGCTCATTTATTCTTTTTTTCAAAATGTTGCATGTAAACAAGCTGTGGATTCAAAGATAAGTTTTTGCACTTTCTGAAGAGAAATATTCCTGACACAGATTACCTAGGTAACTTAATTTCACATAAAACTAATGACAATTTATAAAAAAACGACAGTCCAGCTCATATCTATTAGAGATAATCTGGCCGGAAGTAAAGAATATCTAGCAATTAGGAAGATTGGTATAATTACAATTTTAAATTTTGGTTGCTCTTTTTTTGGCTTTTTAATTTATGTATGTATTTTCATTGCCTTTTAGCGTTATGTTTTAGTTTTTTTATGTTACAATGCCTCTCTTAATTAAAAAAAAAAAAAAAAAAAAAAGGTGGAGGAAGAAAAAGAATTCATATTTTGACTTCACTCCTGTCATAATGACATCATAACCTTGAAAGTAATGTCTGCAAGTGATGCGATAGTCAGAATTTATTATCTTCTCCCTACTGTTTGAGATTGCAATGTATTTTTTAAATGAATGTAGAAAATTGCCCAGTTAAAATGTTTTATAATTCTTTTTTAAAAAAATGGGTGAAGTGTTTGTTTTTTAACCTGTGAAAATTTCAGTACACCTGATGCATTTTTAGAGGATGAAATTTTAAAATAATGGCATCAAATGGTCAAAAAATCTAGTGTGACATCTTAATGAGTGTAAGCTTATGCAAATAGAGAATAGAGACTAAAATAAGTAAATATACAAATTTAGCTAATAAATTCTTTTTAAATACAGGTCTTCATGACAGATCCAAAATCTGCACCGCCCAGTGTTTGTTAGAAAGATATGAGCAAAAAATTGTTTAAATATTAAATATAAAAAAGTAAATTAAATTTTGGAAAACAAATTGCTTCACCACAGTGCATTGTCATTAACCAGCAATGTGTGTACAAAATATGAAATCGTAAAAATCGCTAACAAAATTCTAACTATACTGAAAGACTGTGAGTGGACTAAATAAAAGCTTATAAAAATAACAGTGTAATGTTTTTTGATAGCATCCTTTTATATAGTTTAAATGAACCTAGTTGTGATTGTCCATGAGAGCGCATGCGCATTCAATGTAGTATTTGCACACTCTGTAAGGGGGGGGGAATAAAAGCTTTACTCCAAACAGAGGAAATTTCCATAAATGAATGTAATCAAAAACTGAGCATTGGCATATAAGATGCACCCTGTTTTTCAGACCTATTTTCAAAGGAAAAAAGTGCGTATTATACGCTGACAAATACGATAATTTGTTGTAAAAATCTTTTATTAACTATTTAAAATTTCTGAAGTATTGCCAAAGAAATGCAAAGGAAACTCTTAAATTTCATTTAATAGAGGCTCAGGACCTGTTAAAGGAAAGTATGATGCCTCGGGCCTTGGAATTATTTTGTCATTATTTATTTCTGATTTTTTTTTAACAGAATAAATTAGCACAGGTTGAAAAGAAAAACATTCAGAGACATTGCATGTTTTATGTCTGAACAAATGTGAGCTTCCGAATGAATGATGCATAACAATAGTATCAAATGTTGTAGCTAAGTAATAGGAATTAAAATGTGAATGTAATTTTAATTTGGATAATAAACAAGTATGAAATAAAAACTATGGAAAACTCATTTAAAAGCAGTATTCATTAAAGAAGAATTATAGGATTATGGGAACCCATTTCATTTGCAAACAAAAACATAGATGTTCAAAGATAGAAAACGAGGAGTTTTGCAATATAATGTTTTAAAAAGATCTGTAGTTGATAATAAAATTGTCAGAATTTGTAAAATCTGATTTTCTTCAAAAGATTAAAAATAGCTCTAGTTATCCATGGCTGGCAAATGAAATAATTTGAAGCATTCAATCAAAACAAGTTACTGAATTTTGAAGGTATTTTGCTAGAATAAGTTATTTCTAAATGTTTACTTAGTCGAACATTATGTAAGCAGATGGAAATAGAATTATATTTTAAATTTTGGTGCTTTTGTCTTTAAGACTTTCAACAAAATGTGTTATCTTTTTCTGTGAAGGATAGATATTTTGAGGGTAAGGTTGATGTTTATGTGTGTTTGTTTGAGAAACATCAAAATTATCTAGTTGTGCATTTGATCTGCTATAAACAAGTTTTACAAATGGCTGAACTTTTCACTGAAATAGATTGCACACGATGATTTGGAAAATAGTTGAAGATAAATGCTGAAGTCATGGCAAATTTAAATACTCCTTTTTATTATAGTTGCCTCTGCAGCCACAAATAACATAACTGCTTGTTTATGAAGAACTACATAAATTTTTGTGATATATTTTTAAGGGCAATAAGCAGCAATTAGTTGGCAAAAGCAGAGCAGGAAAGCTAAGTTGGTATATTAAAACTGAAAATTTTTTAGAGAAGTTAAAAATTTATGGTTTGTAATTAGTTACACTTTCAATGTATATGATTGGATAAATTTAAGCTTCAAAGTTTATTATTGGCTGAAGTGTTTATGCAAGTTATTAAGAACAGCTTTGCATAAGAACCAAATGACATGGATTAATTTTAAAATGATACAGTTTAGAGAACTTTATTATAAAATATTAACTGTTTCCAAAATGCAAAAATTATATTATATTGATATATATTTATTTATTATATATATATATTGTATATTGAAAAATTATATAATTTTGTTTTGAACCTTTAATAAAAACAAAGTGCTAAGTGTTTAATTACACTAAAAGCCATCAATCAGGTATTTAAGTAGCTAGAATTTTTTATTTTTTGACGAAAAATTTTGCAAATGAGAGACTTGTGAAGGCTTTTTATTCTAAGCCCATAAATTGGTTCTTGGAATCCCGCTTATATAGAATCTAAAATATGAATATAATGGAGATGTTGTTTCCCCTCCCAAACTGTTGTATTTATCCTGTTATTTGAAAAACTGGAAGTGGGTACTTCTCATAGATATTTTTCCCACCAAAATATTTTTGACAAACAACACCCATCTCTATACATTGTGATTTGGTGCCAATAATGGATAAGCTTGATGTCATCGACTATGTTAAGCAAATCACTAGCAGTAAATAAGTTCACATAAGTATACTAAGAGTTTAACATAGTCAAATTTCAACGTAATAATAAAATTTTCTTTTATTTATTGTGATCTTCAAAATATGTCAGGAACAGATATGTTTTTGCATTCTAAGCATTAGTTATTGTATCTACATTTTGAATGGGATCTGGCATCAAGGGAATGCAACTTTGTTTTAAACTATGCAATGATGATGCAACACAAAAAATTATGACAGGCGATTTAAGTTTTTTTATATGCTTTATGTGTCCTTTTGATTTTTTAAATAAGAAAAGAATGTTTTGTTCCTTGAAAATTCTGCTGTTATTATTGGTACATGTTTGGTAGGATCTGCATCAACTTTTACAGTTGATGGAAATTCATAATTGTTTAAAATATCTTACATGTTTAAGGCCTATTATGAAAATATGTTAGCTTTTATATCTGAAATGTATTTTGGTTTTTCAGCCGTACATAATCATAAATGTAGGCATTTGATAACAAATAAAATAGCTGTTTTTATGATTTTAGACTAGACTAAAAATTTCATCTTTCATCATTTGGTGTTCTACCACAAAGTGTATTTTTTATCTGTGCAAGTATCTGGTAGTGTTATTTCCTGAGCTTGTCAATAGTCAAACTTTTACTGCATTTCTTTTTGCATGCTGATGTCATTATTTTACGTGTGTTGTAATGTCAGCATGCAGAAAGAAATAATTAAACATTATATTAAAAAACCATGACAGAAAATAATTGTTGCAAATTTTTGCTGATAAAAATTTAGTCAAGAAAATTAATTCCACTTGTGTATTTTCTGTTTCAGGTCAGAAGGTTAGATGGTATTTCTTTATTGCTGGATTGTTGCAATTTAGATGCTAGAAATCCTTGTATCCTTTGTTATTTTGAATCCTTTAGCTATACGTATATGACTTGTCTAACATATATTACCAATAAATAAACATTAAATATTGCTATAATGAATAATTTACAGTTATCCTTTTTTTGTGTGTGTGCTCATCTGAGATGCAGCATTTTATCACAAGTCTTTGTCCAATAAATAAACTGGCTACATGAAATTTCCCCCACATGTAGCATGAGTATAAGCCATTTTCTTTCAGAAAAACCCTTTATCAAGACATTCTTGCTAAGGTAACTAGCCCCTACATGTTTTGCCTTAATCAATCAACCATCTAATTTTAGTTTTGTAAAAATAGAACATCTCTTGGAAACGTGTGAGATGCAGAGACTATGGCTGGCATGGTGAAAATGTAGCCCTTTGGCTGTTAAATGTGGCATGCATTGTGATAAATAGTACATATACTGATATAATTTGAAAAAGAATCTTGCTTTGAAACACAGTTTTTTTTAACAGTTCAGTAATTTAAATTTTTACATTATGTATATATTAATTTTAGACATTTTCAGTATGTGCTTTAATTGCCAAAGTAATAAAGGAAAGGTAAATAATTCTGGTTCTGTGAAACTAATAGTTGACAGTAGTTTTGGTAAAAGAAATAGCTATTCTGTCAGCAGAAAAGATAATATATCAGCAGGTACTGTATTGATGTCGTGCCTTATATCTTACTTGATGAGCACTATGAATATATATTTCTAATTTGCTGTGGAAAAAAAAAAATAGCACATCTGATGATCCAGAACAATCAAATATAAGTGAATTCTATTTCAAATAATTGTAATAAATGGATTAAATAATTTAAAGTTTGATATCCATTAATCATGTGAGAATGAAATCTGAATTATCATTTCACATAAAACCCTGCTGTGTTAATTTGCTAAAATAAGTAAAGAGGGAGAGTGAAAACTAAAATTAAATGTTTGGTTTTGTGTCTGAGAAGTGAGCTCATCTTATGAAAGTTTTAAAATTTGTGCATTGTTAGAACATACTTTTCTGAATACAGAGCAAGAATGGCATTTATTTTCTGTTCACATTTATGAAGTATAATAATAATGAAAAAGGAAAATTCTCTTTTAATTTGTTTCAGATGGGTCAGAGCTGGGCTTTACTGTATTGCTTTTAAATTGATAAAAATGTCTACTTGGGGTTCTTGGATTTAATTACGGCCTTTGAGTACCACTGAATTGAGATACAAGGTTCTTTGTGACTTGGCCAACCATGATATGTTGTTTATATATAGTGATTTTTTATAAATATAATTTATATGGTTCTATACAATTTTGTCTTTACCTTGTAAAAATGTCAAAAGATGAGGCTTATCCTGTACTCTGATGTGAAATGCTTGAGACAGAAGACTTACTCTTAGTTATTTCTCCATTTTTTTTTTTGCTGTTGTATTATGTGTGGTCACCTGTGTTTTTTCCCATGAAATCCAATTTCTCCCCAGATTGGTTACTTAAGTCTCATATAAAGTGTAATAAAATAAGGAAATTGATACCTGACTATCTCTTTTTGACATCATGCTGTACAAAAGTATAAATTTTGGCTTGCTATCCATTATGTTAGGTAATGTATGACACTTTTCTTCAAACTGCAGACTAGATCTACACATGCATATTGGTTCTTTCTGAAGTTCATCTTAGTCTTAATATACAGTTTCTTTAACCATTTTCATTTTTTATGAAAATGGTTAAAAATTTTTATGGTAGATGAACATTAGTTCAGAATTTTCAAACTAGAGAAATATGAAATAATCGAAAGGTAAAAAGTTAATTGCAATTTTCTTCTTCACAATTTTTAATCATTTGAAGATGTTTATATTTTGACTTGCTAATTTTTTTTTTCTGCTAAATTCTTTACAGCTTGTTTATAAGATGTTTTTGAAATTGCATGTTTCTATGTTTAAATCTTTGTATAAGCATATGTATTTCATATAAGTGTATGCATGTTTATTTTTGTTGTCATATTTTTGGGAGATTAAAAGCTGATTTGTGTCAATTGTTATTCCCTTAATATTTTTTAGTCATCATGCAGTGGTGCATTTTGGCTATAAGAAATATTTTAGAAAACAATCCTGAAAATCAGGCTATCTTAGCAGGAATTTCAGTGACTGGAGATCTTGTTGACTCGGCTCTGATACGAGAACTAGGCTTCCAAGTGCATTCTGAAAATGGAAAGTTTGTACTGAGATCTACACAGTGTTTTTCTTGATACCAATGAAGAAACTTTTGTGAACATACTCTTTAATTTATGGTACAACTTGGTACACTTTATGAACTTCATGCAATTTTAAACCAAACTTTTTTTATACTCTGATTTTTTAGACATTCTGATCTGAAGTTAACATTTTTGTGAGGTATAATTGCTTTTCTTTTTTGCAAGCCCTCATATGCATTTTGCTATTTATGTATATTTCATATACATTTTAGGAAATCTACAATTTGTCATGAGCAATAATAGTAAAATGCTACTGTTAATTTCTATGGTTAAGAAAAGTTCAGAAAACTTATTTTAGTGTTTCTATTGAAGTCTTCTCTCAAATATATTAAAAATATGCTCCAAAGTAAAAAAATATTAATGAAATAGTTTTTAAATCTGTTTCAGTTAGTACTAGTATAATTAACTACATTTCCTATTTTGCTGTAAAATTTATATATTTTGAATTAATAATTGGTAATTACTTTCTGCAATGATGTATTCATTTTATATAAAATTGATTTATTTTTATTTTCATTCAAAGGGATAAAATTTTAAAAAATCTTCTCCCCTCCCCCAATATAAATAAATACATAGCTAAAATATTGTATATGTGTTTGTAATTCTCTTCCGCAAAGTTCAAATTGATACCAGATAGAATGTAATTAAGAATATTAAAAGAAGGGGACTAGGCTAGATTGTAATTAAAGGCATATTAAACCCACATTTCACAGTTTTATCTTTCTGTAATTTAAATATTTGTATTCTTACTAGGTAACTGATGAAATGCCTTTAAGTTTTTTGTTTATTCTCAGTTACGTGAGTTAACATTTTCTGGATTTTTTATTAATTTTACTTTATAAAATATAAAATTAAAACTGTAAAAAATATTGCTGGCAATTAAATAAAAAAATTTGGACAAAAATATTCAAATTAGAATTAAATAAAAATTAAGGTTTTATTTTTTAAATATAACAATTTTTAAGTCTGATTCTCAATATATGAATAAAACAAAGCTTCTTATTCAGTTGAAATTCAAAACTTGCCATATAATGAAAATTATTTAAATTATATCAATTTCCTGCCATCTTTAAAGAAATTATTTTTATTTTAAAAATCTGTGTTTTTACAATGATGCAGCTTCCAGTCATTTTATTAGCTGTTAAGTATTAAGAGTCAGTAAATAATATCATATGAGAGTGTAATGTGTAAATAATCATTGTATGAAGTGCAAATGTATAATAAATTACATCTTGTAAATAAATTCAGATTTTTCTGTTAAGTTTTCATAAAATGTCCTGTTTTTATATGTGACCTGTGAAATGAATTAGCCAAATACTTTATAAGAAATTAGGAAAAAAAAAAAAAAAAAAAAAAAATCCTTTTATTGATTTGTAAGCTTTTCAATAATAAAGGACAGTTACATTCTGTATGAATATTTCTACTATATAAATAAAAAAATCCTATTCAAAACTTGTGTTATTTACTTTGTCCTTGAAATTTTACTTCTTTATGTATTAGGTGTATTAGATCCTTGTATAAGGTATTCAAAAATAGAAGGACCAATATATAAATCATTAAAATCTGGCAATATCAGAAATAGCAGTTCTCAATATGTGTATTTTTTCTGTCTTTTTAGCCCAAATGGGCATTAGCCCAGAAGTCTATTATTTGTCTCAAAGCGGCATTTTTGTTTAAATCACTGAAATTGCTAAATCACTTTTTAGCATTTTGCCACTAAATATTATCGCCCCCTATTATATTTAAGAAAACTAAGTAATGAAGAATCTGCATGAATGTGTGTATGTTTCTTGCATTGTGAAAATCAATGGTACCTAGAGTCATCACATTTTAAATATTATAGTCTTCCACCCGAACATGGACACCTGGAAACCTAAATTTGAAATTTTGAATTTGTTTTATTGTCTATTTCATTTTTTGTAAACCTTTAATAAATTTTTGATTAAATGTCAACAGTTTCAAAGCGAGCAGATGCAACACTGTAGGGAATAAAACACTTTTTATTTCCAGCGTGCGAACCTGTCTATGAGAAATTCTAAGGCTATACTGTTTTTAAATATTTTTAGCACAATGTGTCATTAATCCAAATGCTCTCGAAATGTGTATGAGTCTATTATTTTTTTAACTATTTTATTCATAATTAGTTTAAGAGACTAACACCTTTCTTCGGTCACTATTTTATATTCATCTTATTAAAAATTCTAATCAAGGAACTACAGAAATTATAATAGGTATAAATCTATGATTAGCTCCACAAATTTCTGAACATTGACCCACAAATAAGTTAATTGCAGAAATAAATTGAGAATAATTAGAATCTAAATCTAATGCAATTTTCTTCCTCGAATAAATAATTTAAGTTTTTGATTGTTACCATTTCATTATAATTGATTGCAAATCAATTTCTAACCTTATTTTTTTCTCTCAATTTCGTTTTTCTAAAACCTTGTCTGTAAATGAAAAAAACACCTGTTTGGGCATGATATAAAATCTGAAAGCTTTTGGATTTCATTTTTTAAAAATAAATCTGAGCTTCCTCTTCTATTGAAAAGCAAACATTGCCATAAAATTCACATTATAGCATCATTTTGAAACTCAAAAGATTGTGATAAAAACATCAATTTAAATCAAGAGGATTTGGAACTTCTTTTTACAGATAACACTTTGATTGACTGAAGTCAGTTTGGGGTGACAAAATGCCTTCCAAAGCAAAAGTCTTCAACTGGTTGAAAGAATTCTGTCATCAGTGATGGAATAATGACTTTCTTGAAGGCTGGCCAAAAAATGTATGTCGTAATAAAACTTTGATACTATGCAACAAATGATCATTTTAATTCATGATGTCACATATGATGGAAGCATCTTTGAAACATTCAGTGACTTTAGTGTATTGAATTTTACATTATCATTGAAAGTAAAAAAGGTATGCACACTATGTAATTTTATCCAAATTCAAAAGGATGCTGATACAAATGTTGCAAAAGATATTCTAAAAGATGCATCTCTGGTGTTGCAAAAGTTACCTTTGGTTTTTATTATTTTCATATTATAAAATGAATAAAGTCCTACAAAAACTGTATATAAACAGTGTCCTGGGCATGTTGGAACTGTTTTTTGGAGGATCATACAATAATAAATTATGTTTGGTAGGCAGCAGTATTTTTGCTAGAAATAGTTGTACTGAATTCTTCTTTCCAGCATCAAACATAAACTGCATGGTCACCAACTGAACATCACCGAATCAATTGAAACTTGTAAATCATGTGTTTATTTTATTATAAATTGCTGAATGTTTTGGAAAACTGATTTATTCAAGTGGAAAATTTTATTGATGCTCAAGGTGAATACTTGAAAATCAGTGATTTATTTACATATATACAGTGGAACCTCGAGATATGAGTACCTTTATATACGAGAAATTTGAGATGCGAGGAAAGCATGCGCAAAAAATTTGTCTCTAAATATGAGGATTGGCTCGAGTAATGAGTAATGAGCCAGGCTGTTGGTATGTGTGGCATCATTTCCTGATCCAGCTTAACTTGGGGAATCCCCGCATCAGATCACTTGGTGTTTGATCTACGTGTCTGTGTGCTTGTGAGTCAATGGCTTATTACATTTAATGTAAAAATTATTTCACAATGCCTCCCAAGAAGATTGTTGCTTCAGATAGTGCTTCAAGGGAAAATAAGGAAGCCATGGCCGTTGAAATTAAGAAAGAAATCTCAAGCATGTTGTAAGAGCGACGGAATTGGCGAACAGAGCTGTGCCAACACAATTTTTCACCTGAGGCAAAGCGGTAAATTCGCGCCCTTGTATATGATGTAAGTCATCCGGCTATTTGGGGGGGAGGGGGGAAGAAGAAATATATACATACACAAAATAAGTTAACTATATTTATACTTATTGAACAATCTAACACAATTATTGCTAATGCCAAGTATTTGCAGTCAAATATCAAAGAAAAATATTTCACTTCCTTGATTTTAGAAATAATAAAAAATTTAAATATGGCTGTGCCATTTCAACAGCGGTACAGTTTTTTAAAATATATAAAGAGTATATCTGTTAAGTAATTTATTTCACTGAATGATGAAAGAAACAGAATAACATGCTTTTAAAAACTTTTCACTGGCAATATTTGTTTTGAAAATAAGAGCACTATTAAGAGATAAGAATAACATATTTAATTTAATAGTGGCTGATAAGCAACACTGGTACATATGTTTCTTTAGAAAATTGTTTGGCAACATGTTGTCCAATAACTAACAGTATCGCATATTTTAATATGAACTGTAATTTTGTTACATAAATTCTGCAATAATTTGCTACCACAATAAATTTATTACCGCCGCAAAATCTAAACTTTATTATAGTCGATTAATCAATGAGCCAATTCTTTAATATTTATGTACTGTTTATCATTCAAATCAAGAAAGGCCTGAAGAAAACTATTTGCTAGCTAAACTCTTTTTTAAATATGGCCAGTAGATGGGCTGTCAGAAAATGTTTTCATAGACTGTCGTTCTCATCATGCCCTTACAATAAGCATAGATTTAAAATTAATAAAATTTAGCTCCTTACTTTTATCCAGCTCATCAGTTTAGCTTAGGGTTTTTAATGCCTGGCCAGTCTGGTCTAACTGATTTGTATGTTTTGATTTCATTTTCGTTTTCAAATCTGTAAATCAACAGCTTTATCACATTCATTTATATCTCTTCCTTCATATTTCAATCTTTCCAAACCTGTATTTCTTACAATTCCTTTTACAAGAACAGATTTAAAAAAAAAAAAAAAAAAAAAAAAAAAAAAAATGGCAAAATCCTTGTATATGGTGCAGCCTTGGCACGATTTTGAAAATTATTGCCAACACCAAAATCCGTTTACCATTGTATATGTTACGTTTACTGCTCATCATAAAGTCGCCAAATCCCATGTGTACCGTATGCTAGGATTAAAACTAAAAAAATTATATTTTATATTTATAATCAATGTAGAGGAACTAAACTTTTAAAAAGCATGTTTCTTAATGTTGGTATCAGTTATATGAAAATTAGACACAACCATTTGTCTTAAATCTTCCAGCCTCCTTTTTCTGTTTTATGATGCTAAATTAATTTTATCATTTCATTATATACAGTAAAACAAGTCAAAAAAGAAAGAGAAAGAAGTCATGTCTTACCTTAGATATATTTGCATTCCAAGCATACAAAGAATGAGATATTAGACTAATACTACATGATTCATTTAATCCGTTCAGAAATAATTGTGAGTATAACCAAATGCATAGTTCTGTTGCAGATGATTTGGTATGGACACAACCTCGCACCATGAGTCTCCTTCAACAACAAATTTTACACAAAAGAAGAAAAAGGCCTGATAATATGGTACATTTCATCTGCAAGCATCTTCATTTGATCTTTCGATGCTATTCCATTCGGACTTTGCCCTAGGTCATTTGAAACAAAGGTTAAGTTGTTGCAATACTATATAAAATCAATTAGTAAACTTTGGATAGTTTGTTATAGCAAAGTAAAACCTGTAGTCCAAACTAAAGAATGATAGTAGGGAATATTAACGTTGGTGCTTTCTTGAGGAAAATTTAGTCTATGCTGCTGATTGCAACAAGCTAAATTAAATTCAACACTATACTCATTGATGCACTCCTCAGCACTTTTGAGAAAAATTAGTATTATAAATTCTTCGCTTAATTCAGCTGAAGGATTTATGGGAATTCAAAACTTTCGCTGCTGCTTTCCAAAGTCGAATCAGAATTTCTTTTTCAGAATGAATTTCTAAATTTTTGTAGCTAATTTGGCCCCCGTCTAGTTGTTCATCTGAGGCAAATGCCTCACCCTTGTCCCGGCTATGTTGGCAAAGACTTGACATTGGTGATTTGTGCTATTCTGAAGAAGCAGGAAGAAATTAAGAAATTTGATGTAGCCAAAAGGAGTTACTGTTATTTCCAAGCACCGTCCAAAACTCCTATAAGTTGTTGAGAAGCTGTTGTTGGTGTGGATTAACAAGAAGTATTTAAAAGGTCGGTGTCGGAAGCTATCATAAAAGTAAACTACGATTATATTATTTACCAGTGTTATTTATTAGAAAAATTTATTTATATATTAATATTTTTGGGAGTGCGGAACGGATTAATTGGATTTCCTTCATTTTCAATGGGGAAGATAGGAGAAATTTGCTATACGAGCTCAATTTCTGGAATGAATTAAACTCTGATCTCGAGGTTATACTGTATTTACACATTATTTTTAAGACCTGAGGTTGCAGGTTACATACTGTAGCAGATGACATAGTTCATTCAATTTACGTAATTTTTTATGCTTCATTAAACATATTAATTGTATAAGCTCATCAGAGAAATTATTATGTAAGCTGTGATTAGCGTTTCATGAAGGTGACTACTTTGTAGCTTTTCATAAAAAATATGAAGAAAGGAGTTAATTACTGAGTGAATCTTATTTATTGGAGGGCATTTCATGTATTATCTACTTATTTTGTATGTCTAATTTATATATAAGAGCAGTTAATTTTTATGTAGATTTGTTACTAATTTAGCAGTGTAGTTTTATAAGATACTGCAAGCAGAGTTTGGTTTGGTTTCCCCCCTTCTGAAATTATGTATTAAAACAGTTGAATGTTGTGCTATAAAAATTATTTATTTAAATAATTAAAAATAATACAGATATTCAGGTATCTGATAAAACATTAAAAAAAAAAACTCAAGTGAAATTTGAAATATTTACTTTATTAGAAACGTATTTGAAAATAAATTTTTAATGTACATTGCTTTTAATTACATGCAAAAGTAACAATTATTTTACACAACTTTGTTACAGTATTAAAGTATATTTCAAGCCTGCTTGAAATATATCTGGTTATCAAATATTGTAATGTAAATGTACAAAAATGTAATCCATATTCAGGAGAACAGAAGGAAGAAAAACACATTATTGAAACATATGAAAAAAAAATTAAAAGAAGCATGCAGAATATGTTTTCTCCCACAAGAGCTAAAGGCAATTGTGCAGGAACCCCATTCCTGTGGACATTTTTCATCAAAACGTGCGAAATATTTTCATATATTATTATTCTTCTAATATTGATTTTGTACTGACCAAGGTTTATTTAAAGTGAAATAGCTGTTATATTTTTCAGTTTTATTTTTGAATATCCATGTTTTTTTATCTAGTTAATAGTAAAAAATTGCTTGTGCATGCCTATGCATCTTACTTCCAAATATCAAAGTTTTACAATTTTTGCTACCTTTCGCCGATTTTGTCTTGGGCAGTGTAATGGATTTGATACATATTTTCTACAATCCGTTTTCCTTCACGATTTCTCATTTATGTAAGCCCTGATATCATTTTTTCATAATCTTGCCTCCCCCCTTTTTTTTTTCTACTTAGGAACTCGAAATCTAGCTATCAGGTTAAATATATACTATTCCTTCGTACTGAAGTTTTCTAGCATCCCATTAGATTCATTTATCTGTAAATAGGGGTTCCAGAATAAAAATGGCTGAAGTTTTAAAAAAAAATTAATTTCAGCTAATAATGCAGTTGTACAGTATGAATGTTATATTTTTCAGTGCGATAATGAATCAAATCATTTGTTTCAGAATATGCTCTATACAGCAGTAATTTGCTTTAACAAACTGTTGAACTATTTTAACCTCCAAAATTTAAACTCACTTTCTCGAAAATGATATGTGGTTTTAATAATTACTTACTTGTTCAATAGTTTTATTCATTTTAAACCTTAGAACAAGCTTCAAGTCATTTGTTCTGTCACTTTTGTAAGTATAAATTTCCTCCGTGACATCATTATAGTGTCACTGTTTATTTTCAGTCTATTTTTGGCTTTGTGTGTGAGAAGTGCAGGTAGAAGGTTAAGACCAATAAACTTAATTTCTTTAAAAATGTTTATCATATTCTTACAAAAATTTTATAATTGAAATTCAAAATTCAGACTATTTATGTTTATGTATTTTTAGAGGCGTGCCTTCACCATTTTGACCTCTGTTCTTGTAGTTGCTATGAATCTTTCTTGTCTGTAAAATGCTTTCTGTCAGTTTATATTTGAACTTTTTAAAGCATTTGACACCATTATCTGTCATTTTGATTGAATAGGAAAGGTTTTTTAAAGACTTTAGGGCAATTAAATTTCTATTAAAAGTAATTTTCAATTTTGAAATTAGATCTTTTCGTTTGTGCCAGTATTTTATAATCACATTTGTTTTGGCAATTTTATATAACTTGATCGTGAACCTGACAAAAATGTTCTTAAGTTTTAATCTTCATAGATTAGTCATTAACATTCCTCAGTTTCCCCCTGTTAAAGAAATGAATGTGGTTTTTTTTAATAAACTGTATTATTGCTTATTAAAATAGTAAGCAGCATCATAATTAGTTTTTTATTTTAGGGGTGGGCAAATAAAAATTTTAAATGAGATGCCATTGTGATGGAGAAATAGTCTAAAATTTTATTTTTTGAAAAGGAAAATAACTTTACATTTTCTTTTTCCAAGAAATTCAGATGACATACGAAGAGGTATTTTTAAAACAAAAACACATTTTTCGGTTTTTTAGCGGTTTTTTTCTTTGTAGAATTGTTTATTCAAATATTTTGAATATTATATGTTTCAAAACTGATTTATAGAAATTTAAAGCATTTTTTTTTAAATCACAAGAATGAGCTTCGAATTTTATGTATAAAAATTTATGCGCATTTTGTACAAATTTGGGGAGGGTGAAAACTTATATGATAATACAGTAAAATAAATCTGAACAAGAATTAACTTCTTTAACCCAGATTAATGCTCTGTGTCGCAATTGTAAAATTGGATTTTATAACACCATGTATACGAAAGATGGAATCTATCAATTTACTGTTTTACATAACTTTAAAATAATTATCCTAATATACATAAATGAACCATTTAATAAGAATTCTGTAAAAAATTATAGAAATTACTTTTCAGAGAGTTCTGAGGTTTTTTTATATTTCTATGAATTTCGCATGAGATGATACATCTAAAACAGTATCACAATTCGGATAGAAGTGTTCGGATATAAGTTTAGTTTGAGTGATACGATGGAGCACACTAAGAATGCTATTGTTTGACTTAAAAGTCTTTCCCTGATTGATCCCTTGGTAAAATGCAATTAATTCTCAAAGTAAATGGCACAGTTCATTTACAGGTGTACTCTTCTATCGTTTTGTTGCACGATTCACAGGAAACATAGCAGCACCAGGAAAATTTACATTCACACTGAACAGTCGTATTGTAGCTGTGCGTGTTATATCCTCTTCCACAGCACATTAGGGTACAACTTTCGTGGGCGTTTTTGTTTTCATGATTACACACGCGACCAATAGTCCCCGGTGCTCCTTTCGAAGGATTTGGTTCACAATAGTTGGGAGATTTTTCTAAATATACGAGGTTTCCTGTGTGGTCGCTTTGATTTTCTTGTCCTCAGGAGCAGAGGTCTATTCTTTCTGGTTGAATTTCTAACATTTTTCGAAGTCCCCAGAAAGCAAACACCCACTTAGCTGATTGATATCGACGCATCAGGTAGTCTGCTGTTTTACCAAAAGCTGGAAGCGTGTTCCAGCACGTCTTCATGGTACAGGAACCAGATACACCATGGCACTTGCATTCTAACCTCATCGTGTTGATAACAGCCTATAGAAGAAATGAAAAAGTTTAAAAAATTCCACTTAATCACATTCATGTTGCCCGTTGTATTTCACATTTAAATGCCTTTATTAACTAAATATTATACATCATTTGTAAAATTCATGTCTCTAAGCCGTATACTTTTGTATAGCTTCAGCCTCTTCAGAGTTTTATATCATTCTAGTTAACTGTTAATTATGCTTATTTTTATAGTTCAGCTTGACAGCTGAAATAATTGGAATCCAATGCTGATAAATAATTCTTGAAAATTTATTCGTCGAATAATCTCAAGATGAACATTCTCAATATTAGAATAGTCATTCCGTTTACATAATCTGTATTACTATTTACTTATTGCTATAATTTTGATATCTTAGCTGAAACTCAGAAGTTCTCGAGCTTTCTGGCATCCCATTAGATTAATTTATCTGTAAATAGGGGCTCCAGAATAAAAATGGCTCAAGTTAAAAATTTTTTAAATTTCACCTAATAATGCAGTTCTACAGTATAAATGTAGCAATTGTTGAATTGTAGGAATTGTTGTTTCAGCTAATAATGCAATTGTACAGTATGAATTACCAGTGGCTGCTAAATACTGGTAATTCGACGTTGGGATCGCTTCCGGGCGAACGGGTTGGCTGCATGGGCGTTTTCTTGGTTTCTCCCGTATGTGATATGGGTACGAACCAGTTAGTCTTAGAAAAGCCTTCATGAAGACATCCCTTCCCTTAGGCATACAGCTCTTGTGTGCTTTACCATAGGGAAATAAACCAAACGTTTTGGTCCTGCTTGTAGAATACTTTCTGAAAATTCCTGTGGAGCTCTGCCTTTATAGTAAGGCGTGTAATAGTAGACACATTGCGTTTCTAATTAGAGACACAATGTGTCTATCACTGTACGCCAGACATCGTGAGTGCATCGTTTATGACCGAAAAATACCAAAAAAATTGTAGTAAACATATAACGGGTAACATAACATTTGTGAATTACGGGATACTGAAAATCAGTGATGCAGTAGCTGGCTGCATTCCCACCCTTATGGGAATTGAGGACACTGACCAATAGATCTGTAACATTTTTCGTGTAGCACCTAACCTTGGCAAGCACTTAACATTGTTGTTCAAAGTCTCGTAATTCGATATGCGTTTCCCTATGTATGTAAAAGATGTCAATCTTCGGCCATAGAATGCAATGTTTGGCGACACTGACACAGTGGTTACATGTATAACGTGGCGCTCCATCTGACCTGCTCCTATACTGGTCGAAAAGGAAAATAATGATACTTCAGCAGGAAATGTCCCCGCGAATAATCTCAATTGGTGATGTCTCATTAGATCTTTTTCCAGATTAGGCGAAAAGAACAGTTGTCACACTTCATCCGAAAATGTCCCCTCCACAAAAGATAAACAATATAAGTGCAAGTAAATGAAGACCTTCCAAAAAAGTGGAAATGGCTCAAATGGGACAAAAACGTGCAATAAATTATAGCTTAATTAAAATTTGGAAGTAAATCAAACTAATAATGTCGAATGTTTAGACGAACTTTATCTAAAATTCCCTTATTGTTCTGAAGTAAATGCATGTTTAAAGTATAAGCAAAGTATGAAGGTCTGTTTACGGGAAAAAATGGTAGACAGTAAAATCTTTCTTCTAGAAGTGATTTATATAATACATACACTTGCTGCTGAATTATATCAAATAAAAGGAAAGAAGAAAGAAATTTCTTCTGTGAAAGTCAGTAAACTGCCAAGCATTTAACAATTTCAATGAATTGTGAAAATGTTTTGCAGTATATCCCAAATGAGTTTTTGTCATTTGGTGGGGAATGGCGCTCTCCTTTGCCTCTTACCTTATCACCTAAGATAGTGAAAGAAAGGTCGTGTATATCCGAGTCTTGCTATATAAATTAAAAAATTTTCTCTCTGTTACTACACATGCAAATAATATCCTCCATGCGATTAAACTGCCGGATACCTTTAACTAGACCAAACTATTGAAATTTTTATTCGTTTTTATTAAAATTACATTTATTGGAAATATTTTAAATGAAACCCCATGTGAAAAATTCGTTCTAGAAACAAAGTTATGGTGAACAATTATTCTAAGTTTTTGTCATCTAAGGAGTCAGGTGGTTTGTATAAACAGGTTGATGGTGACCACCAAGAAAGACCACTGACCTGGCCTAGCAAGAAATCATCTATTCTCTGCTTCACACTGCCCCTGGAACGCAGCCGAATAGATGGCTAAAAGAGCCTCACAAAGTCTACATGTAAGCTTGGATGTTATTCGGGGAAAGAGTATTCTGTTAGGAACTACTTAAAATGAAGCAAAGAAGCAATCAAAAGATTAAGAATCGCTGTTAGAATAAACAGAAACTTGTGTTAGATAAAGTAAGGAAAGGAGGACTCTGGGACTCTGCCTGAAAAATTAACTGCCGGGGACTGTCTGAATTGCTAAATGTCTACTTGCGGATGCTAATCCTGACAGAAATGTTGTGTATTTGTTATTCTGTTTGTAATATCGTTGGTCTTGCATGGAGGAAGAAGTAACCTATTAAATTATTGCACATAGTAAACCAAGAAAAAGAAGAACAAAATTAAAATTAAAAAGAGGAAAAAAAAAAAAAAGAGTTAAAAAAATTAATCCTAGCGCCCAAACGTAATTTAGTGCAGAAGAGTACTTTGCATGTGCATGACTCTTATGTAAAACATTTAAAAGATTGTGTACCTGTTATCATTAAGATAATAAATTCCTGCATAATTTAGTTCTTTGCTAAACTTAAAGTGGAGTTCTTTTACAAACCGAACCATCCATCTATATTTTCTTTCGTAGTACAATTAAACTTTCAGATTCAGTGCACTCTGTAATCATCTATTTGTTACAGACTGCTTAGCTATGTAAAACATATTGTTCAATGTGGGACCCATCATTAAGATGTTAAATGAACAAGATATAAACAATTTACTCACCAAATGGTCGGCAGTGATTTTTCGCACATACAACGTTACACAGTCCTTCAAGTAACCACATTTCTCCGGAAAAACAAGGCTCTATAGCCAAAAATCAGAGTAACAACGGGCCGGCCAAGGAGTGGGACATGGACATGTGGAGGTCCATCATCTGGAGGGGTACCATTCCGCATAAAAATGGTGGACACAAGGTTTTGTCGCAGTTGAAGTTGCGGTAAGACGAAACTGTTGAATATGTCATGCTATCAGAGGACCGTTACAGGGACATTCTCTTAATTTTCCTTGAAGAAGTATTGTCCAAGAATAAATTGGAAAGTGAATTTACACCAAACGGTAACTTTAGGAAAGTGTAATGGAATTGTGTGGAAAGCTGGTCGATTTCCATGGCTTAAATTCGGTAATTCTGGATGTTCACCGTACCTTTGAAATAAAAGTGTCTTGTTTCTTCAGAGGATGTTCCACGGCCGGGAATTATCGACTTCCATTCGGCCAGAAAAGTCAGTTCTAAAGATAAGCGAAGGTCAGTGTAGGTAACAAGCTATTTGTTGGATGTGGCTGTTCTTATATGGAAAAAAGGTGCACTATTTTTCTCAGTATCTTCTAAATTATTTCGTACGACACATCTAATTGTCGCGACACTGCATGCTCAGTGCACTAATGACGCCATGACCATTTGTTAGTGACTGCTCGAGAACGGCCGATGCTACCTCCGAGACGAATTCGCAATTCAACTGCCTTTCAACGTCCTTCTTCGCTTTCTGTCACATTGAACGCATAACGACTCAGTTTTTTCGAATCGAGGTATCATGTATTTTATACCTTGTAGAGATATTTGTCCCGGCGCAACTTTTTTCGACATCGAGATTCATGAAGTGCTACAGCATATCTTTAGTTCTCGTCAAACAGTTTCACAATTAACCCACTGTAACGATCCTTAGTTTCAATGAACATCAGGTTTAAATAAGAGGACTTCCTGTTCTCATGGGAATAAACAACGAGGGCCGAAGTGGCAAAACAACGAGGGCCAGCAAATATTAAGCTGTAAACGTAAGCTAGCTTCTGAGATGGAAAATAATCAGACGAGTGGTCTTTTAAATATTTATTTTAAAACTTAAACAAATATTTCTGGGTTAAATACAAGTAAAACATCAGCACATTTACAGAAAGAAGAAACAAAGCTTCCGCATGATGGGGAACAGATCAAAATTGTTATTTATTAGATGAGCATTTTATACGCTATCCACTTGTGTTGCACATTTAATTAATTTCTAAAGCCATTTCATTTTTCTGGAAACTTTTTAGAGGCTTACTTTTTTTTTTAGTTTGATGCAATGCTGTAAGTTTGTAATATTTGATTTAACTTTTATCAACAGGTTACAGACTTCTATTACAGACAGGTTACATACTTTATTTGACTTCTATTGTTTATGCTTTGTTCCGCCACGTAGTCGCTCAGTCTTGTGGTGTACACAAATTAAAATAGCAAGCCGTGTAAATTAAAATTAGGAAGAAATCGTGACCGATTATTCAGAGTAGAATTTTGGCTGCTGATTGCTTGTCTGTGGCCTTTCATACGAGTAAAAGTAAACACCTGATGCTAGTTTATAACTTTATGACAGACACTTCAAGGCTTTTCAGATCCTCCCTCATATTGCGATCTTAACATATATCATCATTATCGCATAGCACTTATTTTCTCCCTCTCATATGAGATTCAAACCAGGCTTTATTCATGAGGAGTAAAATTTTTATGCTAATCCTTAGTTTTTGAGTTGCATCTTGTGTCTATGGTAAGCATTAAGAAGACATGATAACTCACCAACTAACTGAGTAACTTCCAAAGATTAGCCATTTTGTACAAATAGTTCGTTGAAGTTGTTAGACAGTTGTCCTGACCTACATAATGATTAGCTCTGGTGGCTGCCTTATCATTAAGCTTAGATTCGAATCATGGAGAAAGCTTGGATGTTTGTAAATGTAGGATCTTGCGGCATGACAGCATTTAAAAGTCTTCTCAGGTGGTTCAGTGGTAGGGAAGAGAAGGCAGAACCTTTGATCCGTCTTTTCCTCAAGGGATTCTCCTTCAGAATTGCTAAAATTCAAAACAAGGTCATCTATCACTTATGTGGCACTAAAAATCCTTGCCAACGACAGACGCGATCCTCTGCTTCTAATCACAGTGAAATTCAAGGACTTGTTCTGATGTTAAACATTTATCAGATCTGTTAGCTACACTTAACTGCCCGCCTACCAGAGTCGCACATTTGTGTTGACTTAGTATGGCCACATTGTGTTTGGGGGCATAAAATATACAAGAGCCCGGTTCCTACTATCCAAAAGGGCAGCCTATACTGTCACGGAGGGTAATAGTGACAGCCATTCGAGTGAGTTATCGTGACGAACAGACTTTTGTTCGATTTCAACAAGTTCCGCACGCTTCGGAATGTGTCTGAGAGATACGTTTTGGTCCATTTGCCCTGAAGTGGTAACTCTGGAAGGTGCTGTATAGTGTGACTTATTAAATCCTTCAGGGGGCTTTTCAAGCCCATTTCTCATGCTCCTGTTCAAGAGTACGAAAGAGCAAGTTGTATAGTGCGGTCTATTGAGATACGCAGAATATGTGCTAATCTTACTTACTCTTAACTGCGCGTCAGAAAAAAACAGTTTAGGGAATCTTCGCTTCTAGGAAATCTAATTAGTAGCCTCTCTCAAAGACTTCCTATAAGGGCATTCTGGGCTCTACTCTTATATTCGCCCTAAGATCACCAAATGTGGCGATATATATTCTGCGCTGGACTTAACTCTTTTGCTGCAGTGGTTTAATTGCTCATTGGTTTGTGTCGTGCGTGTTTTGAATGGTAATGATAGGCGTGGTGGCAAAATTTCAGTAGCATATTTTAGATTGTGTGGAAAGTAAATTTAGTATTAAAAGGTAGGATGTTGGAGTTGTTAACGAGTCTTTTGTTCACGGGTGCGTTTATGAGGATAGAAGTATATTTTTGGAATTTCTGTAGGACTTTGAAAACGGAGTCCGAAATGCGGAGCTGCTATGAGAACTCGGACGAAGAAGGGCGTTTCTAATAGTTCTTGTGTGGATGTGTCAAGGTTGCTGGTAGTTGTGGCAGTCAGCGGAGTTTAAGATTGGATCGTGGTTTTCTTGCCGTAGTTAACTTTGGAGGAAGTTTGTTATCGTTACTTTCGAAATTTTCAACGCAGAAAGACATGTGATATAGCAAATCCTGGCACTTTTGTTCACAGACGTGTGTGACTGCGAAATTTTTATACGAATGTATTATGGTAAGTGCATTTTATTTACTGTTTTTATTTTTGTAGAATGGTATGTTCATGTTTTTTTACTGTGAATTCCTGTTGTTATTGTTGTTTTTTGAATTGTTTGTAATTTTAGTTATTTTAGTTTATTTTGTTGATTTGTGCGCAATGCCTAGATTGTGCAATTCGTAGATTTTTTTTTAAGTTTAAACAGGATGCTGTGTACATGGTATTCTTTGAAATTTATTGTTGTTATGTAATTTATTAAAGCGAGGTGTGCGTAGTTCGTAGATTCGTTTGTGCCTAGATTGTGCAATTCGTAGACATTTTTTTAAGTTAAAACATATCGCTGTGTACATGGATTCTTGTCGAATATTTTTGGTTAGAAACTTTACGTTTTTGCTATCTAAATTTTTGTTTTAGTTTCGGATCATCTGAAATTGTGTGTTCAAAACGTGGTTTTTGCATGTGTGAAATGTTTTCGGAGACATTTTAGGCTTAAAGTTCGAAATGTCGACAAAAAATTTAGATAGTAATATGGCACCGTGGAGTTTCTTGCCAGGTGAGGGCGTATATAAGAGTAGTTCCGCATTCTATTCTCCCTCTGCTGCGCGAGATAGAACTGCATAACGAACGATTTTCGCTACAATTGTTAAATATCTCAGTTGCGTATCCTCAAGATATCGTCGAGTGCAAATGTTTTGAGTAAAAATCTCTCGCTTTATCTACGGGTGGAAGAAACTCGTTTCTCGGAAAAGCTTCTTACAACATAGTGTGTCGCTAGATATGATAACCCCATTACTGTCACTGTCAGAAAGTGAGATAAATCACAATAACAGCATCAGTGAAATACCTTTAGAAGTTATAAGTTTATCTTATAACTTTTAAATGTATTATTTGTCTTAAATCAGTTAAATGCTTTGTTGTAATAAAATTGTTATCTAAATAATTGACAACAGTACAAATGTTCAGCTATCTGTAAAGAAATAAATAAAGAAAAACAGAAACAATGACTGGAGGTTTAACATTTACTTTATTGTAGAATTATTGGAATAGATTTTCGATCTACATTGCTTTTAATTACATTTAAAGGTGGAGATTATCTTACATTATTTAATTACAATAATGAAATGTTCTCAAACCTGCTTGAAATGCAGTTGGTTACCAGACATGTGATTCATAAACAAAAAAAAAAAAAAAAAAAAAAAAAAAAAAACAGAAACAACTTACTGCTGTTTATTACATAGAATACTGGAATGTTTCCACCAAGAATTGAAGAAAAGTATGTAGGAACTTGTTTCATATCTTTGGACACTTTTTTTTCAAATGCCTGTATTAAAGTGAAGTAGCTTTTCAGTTTATTTTATGAAGCTCCAGTTTTTATTCCCAGTTAAATGAGAAATTTAAAAGAAAATCTTTGCACAATTATGCATTGTGCTCCAAAATGTAGTTTTTGTTTCGTTTTGTTCGCTTTTTTGCTGGGCTAATGGGGGCGGCCGGCAGAATCTGTAAAACACTGGTAGTTTACTCCAGCTTCTCGGCAGTGGAATCGACTGGCTGCATATTTTTTTCATAAGCTGGCTTTCCTGCTTACATGAGGCGATCATCTCCCAGAAAGGTAAACTCATATATTGCCTTACCATGATAAAATTATTTATAATTCAAGCCTGTAGTTTAACGGGTTTTTTTTTCTTTCTTTCTATTTGGGGAACTTAAAAAAAATCTAGCTTGTTGCTAGACATACATCATTCTTATTGCTCCCTCTCCCCAGTTTGTAAGATTTTTTATTAATGTTTAAATAAAAAATAAGTTGTTATTTAAATATATTTTTTTTATATATAAGTTATGGAACTGTTTCATTTAACGATTTAAAATGAGTAAAGTTCAATGAAAGCCAAAACTAGATTTTTTTTTTTTCCAAATATTACTAAATTTATAATCAAGAATGCGTAAAATTACAATTTCAGTTATAAGGTATTTCTCCCGCCTTCTTAGCATGCCTTTGTGGTGTAGTGATCAGCACACTCGGCGCGTATTCGAGAGGTCCATGATTCGAGTCCCGGCGAGGACATTGCTCATTTTTCATCTCTCCTCACATTAAAAAAAAACGTAATGTCTCTATACAGTATTACATTTTATTTCATAACAAATAATAAAACTAGGTTCCTGACTCTCACTAGTATAAAACTGTACTCAAACAGCAAAAAGATATACTAATTTAAGTTGCATATATTACTCATATATATATATTTTACAACTGTTAAGATGTGTAAAATTAGCAAAGCAAGAAGCTTGTTTTTGGCGTTAATTTAGTCAAGAACTGAATCGATTTCGACGGCAAACAGGTATAGGTCCCTCTTCACCAGAAAGAAAAAAATCCGCCGATTTCTTTCCGCCTGATGAAGACTTACCAGTCTTGCAGATTTCTTTGCTCCTGATGTAAAAGAGCCTGTACCTTTTTGACCTCAAAATCGATCAAGTTCTTGACTAAACCAAACACGATGTTGTTGCTTTGTTAATTTTATGTTTCACTTTGGCGTGTGTTCTCTTCTGTTTTATTAAGAGTTAGTTTAATTTTTAAATTATAATCTCTGAAATACTGTCTGCGGCCTGTAATACTTATTGCTATATTATATAAAATAATACTTAAAGAGCATATGTTGTATGCGTTTAATGATTGAACATTTAAAAAATGTATTGCCATTATGTCATTTTAAATGTTTAAAATTTGGGCTGCTTGATTTAGCAGATTGGGATGCAACAGAGTAGGAAATGTAAGTATAATAGTTCTTCTTTTGATAATCTGGAGAAAAATTTCGAGGCAAACAGTGAAATACTGCCATTCAATAATCTAATATAATTCTAAGTTTAGAAAATAAGGAAGAAATTTAATTTATTCAACTTGGTGCAATATCAATTCTGAATTCTTAATGCTTTTCTGATTTAACGCATTTCATAGATTACACATGCATGGAGTGGTTGATTAATCTGCATACATTGAATATTTTAAAAATTTTAATCGAATGATACTTAATAAGTGAAATACTAAACGAAGTTCATTTAAAAAAAAATTAATTCAGCTTCTTTAAAAAAAAAAAAAAAAACGAAAGATTTTAGATTTTAACGGTCACCCAAAAGGCTTTGCTAAGATTTCTTACGCTGTCGCTGAGCTCGCAGTCTACCAGTCTGCTGTTGCACTCACTCCTGCTAACTCATTTCTTTTTGTCTTTTTACTTCATTATTAAGAATCATTTTCTTCACACTTAAGGTCATATACAATTCAACAACTAAATTACAAAAAATTCAAAAGCAGCATGTGTTTAGAGCTTCCGATGAAGTGTTAAGTGTTGGCATAGATTTTTCTATTTTTTTTTTCCAGTCTTTTCTCAGTTTATCTTATTACTGTATAGTTTTGGCTTAAATAAACTTTTTTTTTTTTTTTTTTTTTTGCTTTTTATTAAAGTTTTATGTGTTAAATTTATTAATTAAATATCGCGTTCTTCCCACATACATCACATAAAATTTAGTTGAATAGCAAAATCACAAAATATTTAAAAACAGCATATCTTTGGAATTTCCTATACACAGTCTTGCTCGGTGGAGATAACAATGTTTTAATCCATACAATATCGCCACTGCTCGCTTTCAAATCGCCGAGTTTGTTAAAAATTCATTAAAGTTTTACAACATATGAAACATATTCGAAATTAAAATTCACCCTTCCAAGGGCACATGTTAGGGTGGAGGACTACTTTATACAAAATTTGATGGCCCTAGATACCATAATTTTTTCACATTTAGAAAACATACATACATAGATTCATGTAGATTCTTCATTATTTAATTCCTTTAAAAGGGCAACAATTTGAAAAGAAATACATTTAAAATGATACGCCGCCAAATTCTATTTTGAGACTAATAGCCTATTCCGGCTAACTCCCTTTTGGGCTAATAATTCACAATTTACATTTTTAGGTACTTTTCAACTAGATATTGTTCTTTTATCATTTTATAACTGGGTTACAATTTAATATATGTGAACATATTTTAATAGCATTCATTTCCCCATCTTAATGGTTTTTAAATATTCATGTAAATATAAAATATTTCACAAATTTGAAATGAGTAGCCAGTTTAGACCACTAGCAAAAAGAAAATGATGTTATCATCAAAGTATGTATTCTGGCCATTGTTTTCAAACAACTATGCGTAGAGTTTATTCAGAAAAGTGTTAGTCTAATTTAATCGTACGCCTCTAAATGAATGAATCACCGATCTCGTCAGTATTTCTTGATTCCGTTGACTCAAATTAAAGTAATTTGTCTATCTCATAATATTTTATTCAACCTTTCTCCTCATACTGAGTAAAAATTGTACATCATTCTCCTCACATTCAGTACAGTGTTACGCCTTATACTGAATAAATATTATGATAGCCATTTAAAGTATTTACGTTCTCATTCATTCTTAAAAGTATAATTTTGTAATTGTGTGACATTATAACTTTCTTTCAGCAGAAATAATGCAAAAAATCAAACGAAAATTTTTCCTTTTAACAGTTTCTCTACGCATCTAGGATTATTATTTGAAAATTTTGAATTAATCGAGTTTTATATTTTACGAGTAATCTTGTATTTAATATGCAATTATATGAAAGAATTTTACAAAGTTGCAAAAGTATTCGAATTTGCAGTATTGCGTGTGATATTAGTTTCCTTTTGTTAATTTCAAAACTAATTTGATATTTTCTTTGTTGCATGTAATTTGATAAGAAATAAATTAATATTTTTTCATTTATCTATTAATGCAATATGAAAATTAAAATTTGGTAGTTTTATTGTATGGATCATATCTTTTCCAAATAAATATTTATTTGCTCAACGTTTTTATTTGCCATTAATATTCCTGAAATTATTTTTTATGAATGCTTTGCCATGCGTCAAATTCAATTTCCACAACTTCTCTTATGTGGATAAAATAAGTAAAAAAATACCATTTTAATATTTGGAGTAATTTTTAAAATTTATTAATTGGGCTACTTTGAAATTATAATTTTTATTTATACAAATAAACCTTTTAACATAAAGAAAAATTTAAAAATTACCTCTCAGCAAATTTTGGAGGGGGCAGGCAATATGTATTTTTAAGAATTTCGAAGGGGATTGTTCCTCTAAAACTACTTCACAATTCAGGTAGAAGTATTTAAATATCAACTTCTTTGAAGTTTGTTTTGGATGATATGAAGGTACACTGTTAAGTTATTGTTGTTTTATTTATAATTTAAACTTTGTCTCTGATTTCTCACTTTGAGAAATGTAGTTCATTCTCAAAGTAAAATGGCACAGTTCAGTTCATTTACAGGTATACTTTTCTATTGCTTGGATGCAGGAACGACAGGTAACAGAACAGCACCAAGAAAATTTACACTCACACTGAACTGTCCTATTATATCTGTGCGTGTTATATCCTCTTCCACAACACATTAGGGCACAACTTTCAGGCTTATCTTTGATGTCACGATTACATACGCGACCGACAGTCCCCGGTGATCCTTTCGCAGGATTTGGTTCACAATAATTAGGAGATGTTTCTAAATACACGAGGTCTCTCGCCCTGGGTTTCCTGTGTGGTCTCTTAGATTTTTTCGTCTTCAGGAACAGAGGTCTCTTCTTTCTGGTTGAAGTTATAACATTTCCCGAAGGTCCCCAGAAAGCAAACACCCGCTTAGCTGATTGATATCGTCGCATCAGATAGTCCGCTGTTTTAGTAAAAGCAGGAAGCGTGTTCCAGCATGTCTTTATGGTACAGGAACCGGACACGCCATGGCACTTGCATTCTGTCCGCATCGTGTTGAGAACAGCCTATTGGGGAAAAGAAAGTTTAAATTTCAGTTGATAAATTTTTGTTGCCTATCGCAGAGGTAAAAAAGTCACCCACAATCTACTATAGTTCAGTACTGGTAAGCACTAGATTGATGAAATTTCGTAGGTAAGAGTATTTGTCCTTTACCACCTAACCTATTCCCAATTTTAAATTCTTGTTGCTGCTGGAAAACCACTACATATTGATCGACATGAAACCCTATTACACCGACGTGAAGTAATCGAATTCCTTCACCAATCTGAAGATAATTCAGCAACATTGATTTACAATTAGCTTTTACTTATCTATGGAGATTACACAATGAATTGAAGTGTGTTGATGGCTTCAAAAATTTCGGAATGGTGACAGTAACAGGCCCAGCCATGGTAAGATAGCCTATCAGCCGTCACAACCGCTGAAAGCGCATCAGTCATGGATGAGCTGAAGACAGATCATGGAGCATACAGATATGGCAAAAGGATATGTGCTAACGGCTAATCCAAAGATTATAGTGCAAAAAAATTGGTGTGCGTTGGTTTCCACTGCTCTTGACAAGGCATGTGATGGTAGAAAGTGTGTGTCGTAGAAAGTTTGTCTTGGGATTCTCGAGAATGCATTCATGGAGTCATGGGATGAAAATTTGAATGGATGATATAGAGGGACATTTGCTTCTACCTACAAAATTTCATTTGTTCAGTGCTTACCATTGTCGAACTACAGAGGATAGCGCGTTGCTTTTTGTGCCTTTGTATATATCATATTCAAATGACTTTTATTCATTAAAATACTAAAAATTATTTTTTAAATTCAAGACTGTGAGTCTGTTATCTAGAATTTTTATTGCAGATTCAACGCTTAAGAAATAATATCATTCTAATTCATTACTAACACATTTTTCTTTCTTTCTAATATTTTTTAATATAGCTTCATTTAAAAGTTGGAGTAAGTGGCATCAATATCGATAAAATTCGCGAAAATTTATTCGCCTTGTAATCCCAAGATTGCCGAGAAATCAGAATAATGCAGAATTCATGTTGACATTTATTGCTATACTTTGATTCTCTGGGTGAAACTCAGACGTTATTATACTTCTGATTCCGCCATTGCCATTTGTCATAGAATACCGTCTACGAATCCCAGAGCACTCTGCTTTTATAGCAAATTGTTTAATGGTATATAGTAACATTTCTTTTTGAACACACTTGCACACAGTTTAATACACTTCAAGAGATGGTCGCCGTGACAAACTTTGTTGTATATGTATATATAAGCTTACATTTTATAGTAATGAACTTAGTATAGTAATAACAACAATACAAACTTCAAAATATTTAATACTTCACAATAGTACAATTTTATAATAAATTTTGCTCAAGCATATTTATTATAAAATTATAAGCATCATATTAAGCGTAACTTCTTAAAACTCGGGCAATTTTGCAATAAGATTAAAGCAATACAATTTGAGGAGACTTGTAACCCAGAAAAAATATATAGGTTGGCACACGAAACGTCATACCCTCGCTTTTAGTTATTACACATTTATTTATCATAAAATTATTATGAAATGAATGCATAGTTAACTGTCTGAACATGGAAAATGAGTTTAGCGCAGAATACATGTAATGTGTCCCCCACTTGCTTCACAGTATCTTTAAGCGAACCTCCGGCACACGTTTTCCGCAATTGCACGGCATAACTTCATGATTGAATTGCTATATTTGCTACATTTGAAGGCCTCCTTGCGAATACTTTACCTTTCAAAAGATGCCATGAAAAGAAACCACATGGATTAATATCTGATATATGCAAAGACCGCGGTCTCCCATCTTAATCTTCAAGAAACCAATGTGACATTACGCACACATTAAACATTTCATACAGACTATCAAGAATAACATTAAGCTCTTCCTTGTATGAATCATTGGGCTTTACCACCCATTGTATTGGGTGAATCATTGGGTAACCCAATGATTCACCCAATGTTTCATATTAGAGACTTGTTGCTATTTCAGTGTGTATGTGCATCAGGCGCCGCTGATATTTCTCCAACACAGATCCATCAGTGACTTCCAATTGTTGACTTAATTTGTAAAAGGTCTGTTTGCAAGGAGTCTTGTACCAAAGTGGGCATGAAAGTATCTTTGTGTGGCTTCCAGACTCTTCGTTTGTTCAAAAACACTGAACCAGATGTTATCCGCCATCTTGTAAACTGCTGCTTCGCAGTAAATTAGGGGCCGATTTTCTTAATATCTACCGTATTTTTGGTGAACGAAAGCATTCGAATGTCCATTTTTGACACTGAATATATAATATTAAAAATTTTATGAGATCATTGACGTTTCGTGTGCCATTCTGTAAGAGGAAATAACACTGGAGAAAGCCAGCGCTTTTTTGAAGTAAATCAGAAAACTTTTATAACGACATTTCGTTAATGAATACTGCCAAACAAAGTGCGAATTTTTTTTTCGAATTATAAGATATTTCTCCCGCCTTATTAGCCTGCCTTCGTATTGTAGTGGTCAGAACGCTGGGCGCGTATTCCAGAGGTCCGTGGTACGATTCCCGGCGAAGGCGTTGCTCATTTTTCAGATCTCCTGCTTCCGAAAAAGTCCTAATGTCTCTACAAAATGTTTCTCATTATAAAGAAGATTATTAATAATACCAGTTGCAATGTACTGAATTATCTGCTACTGTTGGTGTTAAATGGTGGGCGTAAGGAATTGATAATTTATTAAAATATTATTTTCGAAATAGCTTTACACTTATGATAGATGAGAAATTAAAATTTAGATAATCTGATTTCATACAGAGATATAACAGAGTTTACACTTGTCGATGATGACAAGAGGAGGCAGATGTTGTTTATTTTAATTGATAAATATCGACAATAGGATTGAAATAGAAATATGCTGATATCATTTATTGTGCGCTTATCGCAGTCAACATTCAACATTATTTGCATTCTGTTCGAATGTGCTGATATCACTTATTGTGCGCTTATCGCAGTCAACATTCAACATTATTTGCATTCTGTTCGAATGTGCTGATATCGTAATGTGTAATAATTTACATCTGAGAATATGAATTAAAGAATAACTTGAAAGTTGCAGTATCATCAAGTAGATTGATATCTGAGCATTCGATAAATACAGTGGCTGTTCGCACATTTTTTAGTCAATTTTCATTATATTTACAGAAGTATTTTTTTAGTCCAAAGGGGCTTTGTCCCTGAAGGACTATTGTTTTCGTTTTGCGAGTTTGCGTTGAATCACTATAAATGCCCGTTTCACTTTTCAAACTGTTGCCACCAACTGTTAGAGTCCTGCATTATATTTGAAGAAATTAAATAATGAAAAATCTGCATAAATGCATGTATATTTCTCGCATTTTGATAAAACAACGGTACAGTCGAAACAACGGTAGAGCCATCGAATTCTGAATGCGAACCTACTGCGAATATGGGCATGTGGAAAGCCCAAATCTGAAACTTGGAAATTTTTTTATGATCGATTTCACGTTTTGTAAAACTTTAACGAATTTTTGGGTAACAAACTCAACGATTTGAAAGCGAGCAATGGCAACATTCTACCGGGGGGGGGAGGAGAAACCTTTTTATTTCCAGCGTGCGGAACTGCGTATCGGAAATTCTAAAGATAGGCTCATTTTAGATTTTGCGACATTGCTATTGAACTGAAATTTATGCTTTAAGTGCGAAGAATACGATATTTAATGAATAAAGGTAACACACAAAACGTTAAAAAAATTCCCCTTTGGACATAATTTAAAATCTGAAAATTTTCAGATTTTTTTTAACCTAATTTTTTTGCGTTTTAAATGTTCTATTTGATAACTCTTATTCTTTACTGTCTTTCTATACCATAATTCCCAAGACAATAAAGCCTTTTGTAATGCCGGATGAGTATTTAATGGCATTTCTTTTGAACGGCTTTACAAAGTCCAAGTAGGTTTGTTAGGTTGACGTTTGGACAGAAACCCAAAATTCAGGTAAATCTTCGATCAGACCTGGCGTCAATTATGCACAGGCCCTTAACTCTGAAAGGAAACACGTGCAAACACAGAAACCCGTTCAGACACATGTAAACACTAATACCGATTTAACTGACGCAAGCTCGAATCCTACGAATAATTTTAAAATGGGTGGAATCGGAGATCTACTTATGAAAATTATGACTGAATTTCAAAAATTATTTGGCAGTAACTTAAACAAACTCACCCAAATATTCAGGCGTAAAATTCCGACATGAAATTGTGGAATGACCCCTCGGTCAGAAAAAACATTTTCTACCAGATATTGGAAGAAATTAACAACATTGTGCAAAGAAACTAAGATCTTACGTGTCCGACATATTTCAAATATTTTGTACCGTTTCATGTCTAATTTCTCCAATTTAATATGTCATTTTGCACCACATTTACCTGTTGATCATATACTCTTTTACCTGCTTCTTATGTTGCGTACCGGCCCACCAGCGGCCGAGCGGTAAAGTCGCTGAACACTGGTAGTTCGGTCCGAGGTTCGAATCCCGCGAACGGGCTGGCTGCATGAGCGTTTTCGTAGTTTTCTTCATGGTAAACGTGTATACGAGCCAGTTTCCCTTAGAAGTCCTCCACGAGGCATCCCTTCCCTTAGGCAGATAGCCCTTGTGTGCTTTGCCATAATTAAATACACACCAACTATGTTGCGTACCTGTGAACTTTTGACTCTCCCTAAAAATCTGGCTAATACTTGCTTTGTATTTTTTGTATTCTTGTCTTTTCATCTCGTGTGTAGCAGCTCAGGACTGTGGTTGAACTCGTCTACGACTCTTTTGACTCGTTGATATGTTCTCATTTTTACTTCCCGCTTTAGGATGAACTATTTCAGAGCTTTACTCTGATACTCCAACTAATGCTATGGTATAACTGTTAGAAAATTGACTGCTTGTTATCCAGGGATAGCGCATTGACGCGCGGGGAGTCGACAGAAACCCAAAGC